CATCTTCTGTCATCAAGGATTCAGGCTCATCTCCCTGTGTGCACATTTGCGTGCATGTGGTTATATCACATGATTTCCGCAGGCCGCTGATAACATCCATTTTACTTATGTCACTATTTGGATCCTCTGTTTTGTGCAAACTTAAATATTTACTGAAGTTTATAGAAGATTTAACTCAGTTGAAGTCAGGCGCACCCTTTCGTGTCAGCAGGGAGCAGAAGGACTGGCCACTATATCCACAGCTGTTGACAGATGGAACTGTGCAACTTTTTTTCATTTCGATCACCCAGTGAATCAAAACCCACCTTGAAAATTCTGCCTGTGAGATTTCATCAGCAAGAAATCCTGTGTGCTGAGATCCCTTCCTCATTATGTGTGCCAATAATGGTACACCACAGCTGGATCCATTGTCCGTTGAAGGTAATGGAAAGATGTAAGGTACAACCCTATCTTATGCCTGATTTCAGACTAACACTCTCTATGCTAATGGCAAGGTTCCCTTTGACTTCAGTGGGTGTTGGACCAGGCCATCACATCTTCCTCCAAGACTTGCTTTCCCATCCCCTCAAATTTATATTGTTGCAGATCTGGGTTTAGGAGGGTAGAGAAATTACACCTTTCCTCTGCTGCAGTTAATAATTAACTAATAACTAATCCCATATTTGTGATACAGTTAAGAATCTTTTCTTTATTCTGCATTGGTTTTGGGGGGTTATCAAGTCCAGAAATTGTCTCAAATGTTCTGTAGCTTGCATATACTGGCTGCATCTACATGAGATGCTGACTGTAGTTGTTACTAACGCTACTGCACAGTAGTTTCTTGGTGACACTGACTGCGCAGTAGCTTGTTACTATTGTGCAGTAGCATCACACTTCATGCCATGTGATGCTACCGCACAGTAGTAATGAGCTACTGAACGGTCAGTGTCTCGTATAGACACGACCAGTGAGTGAAAGTCACCTCGACTGTAATGAGCAACCTCTGACATGCAGTTATACAATTGATTTAAATATCATTTGCTTTCTTCACCTTGGCCACAGTGCTGCCAGCTCTAATAGTATTGAGTGATACCTGGCTATACAAATAATCCTAATGCTTTCAGTGGGAGTGCTCCCAAAGTAAGGTGCAGTCTGAGCATCACACGCAGCTGTGAATTAGGCTAAACTGCACTGATTAAAAAGAGGGAGAGAACACCCATCAGGTAAATTCTAACGTACAGCTCACTGTGATAAAGCCTAGGGGAATCTGATCCTTGCCCATCCACTAATCCAATTCAGAGTTTGACCCTGATTAACTGTATCAGAGAAATGAAGTGCTCTAGCAAGCACTGGATATTGTGCTCTGTTAAGAAAGAGTGAATTCGGAAGACATGATGGGGGGAAAAATCAGATCAATAAATAGTTTATATAAACACACACACACACACACACACACACACACACACACAGGCTCTTTTAATTACTATTGTCCCGATGTTGACGACCCTTATAGTGAGACAGTTAGCTGTGTTAGTCTGAAGTCAGTCAGAAGGTAGGGTAGATACACACCTTTATAGACTAAATAAAATATATACAGAAAGCACTACCTTTTGTGAGCCCAAGTTTACTTCATCAGATGCTGTGAAAGTATGTGCAGAAGGCAGAGTTTAAGGAGAGAGAACTTAGAATATAAAAGACAAGGGAAGGAGAGAGAGACAGGGGAGGAGGGCAATGCTAAGAGAAAAGCAAACGAGCAGTAAACCCATAAAAATAAAGTGGGTCACAAAAGATAATCCAGGTAATGAATAAGAATCCATAGTCCCTGTTTAAACCATACCAGCACAGTCCAGTTTGTGGATGATGTCTTGTTCCAATTTCCTGTTCAAACTGATCTTAAATTTGTTTGTGCCTGAGAACAGCAATCCTGAGGTCAGCGATGTAGTGTCCAAGCAGATTGAAGTGTTCTGCCCCAGGCTTCTGTGTCTTTCTGCAGATGACGTCAGATCGGTGTTTATTCATTCTTATACATAGGTCACCCTGAAGCTCCTGCATTGTAAAAATACGTAGAATGCACTGTTCAGTTAAAGAATTAACCACCATTAAACTTTTTTTTTCCGAATAACTTGCCTTCAAAAGACTCCTGGTTTATTGTGTATTGAAATGATAAGCTGTATTCCCAGCCAACTACTTGCAAGATTACATTTTCCTATCTGAATATGAATTATTTTATAGAGGAAAAGAACTTTTAACTTCCTTTTAGTAATGTATTCTATTGTAATTAGAACTAGTTTATAGTTCTGTGATGTTTTCCTTTTAAGGTGGGTTTGAATACTCAGTGGAGCTCAACTGAATTTTTAATAGTGTTATTTTTAGCCTTCATTTCAGTTTCCATTCTTCACATCCATGAATAAAGTTCCAGGTTGCTAATGCCATGTGTAGTCTGCTTATCTAAAGATATGATTCTTGGATTGTCCATGGCTTCTCTCTTTGAATCATCAGGGAATTGCTATAATCTCACCAGTACATAGGAACTTCACTGCCAAAGCAAATATTTTTGAGCCTCCATTTTGTATGGGGTTGAATACCTCCTCTTCCCATTCCCCCAGCTGTCATTGTATTCAAGTGATCTTGGGGAAGCTGGCACCTCCCAGAGTCTGGCCCTATAGTAATGTGAAATTGTGGCTTAATGCTTTGCTGCCTCAGTTGATTTTTCCACTTTCAGTTTTTTCTTCCTTATACACCTGTATTTCAGTATCAGCAATGTGATATGCTGGAGGTTGAAGTCTCCAAGTGATTCTGGAAATGTTCACAGGCTCAAATAGTCTTTTCAAGTTTGCACTTGATTTTGGTGACAAAAAGATGCATCAAAATGTTAATCAGATGCCAACAACCATTTTTGGGTAACTGACCAACAATACAGACATAGTGTTGACTTGCCATTATTGGCATAGCTAGTGACCCCTGTGTTCTTCCATTCTTTCTGCTCCATTTTAGTAAGGAGGCCAATTATAGAAATACCCAAGAATTCTTCTTTCCTAGAGAACATCCTGCTTTCTCATAAGAACACAGCAGGCAGATATGAGAAGTAACTTGACGTTCCTTTGAGCATTTTGAAATTAAGCCAAACCAAAGCGGAATAATCTTCCATAGGAAGTGGTCTAAATCTTATTGTTTGAGGCATTTAGAACTAGCCTAGACAAGTCAAATAAGCTAATAGAGGTTTATTTGAGGAGGGAAGGGGTTGGGTTTTTTTATTCATCTCTAAAATCTGTGATCCTTGTATTAAAAAGGTAGATCTAATTTTTTGTGTAGAATTTCCTCTTAAACAATCTCTTTTCTCTGATGTTAATTAAATTGTTTTGTGATTAAAATCCTGGCTTATTAAAAAGTTATGAATTAATTATGCACTGTTATTCCCAGCGAATAATAGATTTTGCTAATATTCTTTCAGCCAACAAAATTAGCACCATTTTAAGGATTCAGTTCCTTAAACTAAAAATTCAAGGTAAAACAATAGCATAACAGAAAAATAAGCATAAGGTTGTAGGTATATGATGCTTCAGTTCTCTGTGAAATAGTTTTCAGTCTGTCCATTCATAGTTTTAATCTGCTAACATAGCTTGAATGAATAGGAAGCACTGAAGTTGAAATTCTGGCCCCAAAAAGTTAATTAGAGTTTTGCTTTGGGCTTCAAGGAAAGAAGATTTCATCCAGGGTGTTTTGCGGGCAGAAGGAATGTTTAGTGAAGAGGAGTCAGAAGTGCTTTTAAAGAAGTCAGTTTGATGTGAATTAGACCAGGATTGGTTTTGTATGTACAAAGTTTGTCTGTGGAATCATTTGCGGAATCAAAACATGAGTACATTTGGATCCATCTCCCATTTCATCTAGGTTTGGACAGAGTATTTTGGTTTTAGACAATTTCTGTATGGTACACGTTTTAGCAAAAATATGGGATTATTTTGGTTTATTAAGTCAAACTTTTTAGTTCAGATCCCATACACAGTTGATTCAAACCCCAAAGTTTAGGTACTCACAAATGTTTCTGCTTAGCCTCTCTGTTCTTCCTTAATCTAGCTGTGAGTTTTGCTAAATTACATTTAAGTTTGTTTTATCAATTCTATACTGTGGGGAAAATACAAAAACGGGGCAAAAAAAGAACAACAGGTTTGTTGCATGCAGAGATGAGACGGGCAACCCATCTGTGTTGATCTTGACTATGAGCAAATGCTATGAAATACATTGCCAGATGTGAGGATCAGAAGTGATTGGTTTGTAGGAAGTCTTGCATCTAATAAAGAACACTGTCATCATTTAAAAAAAAAACAAAAACACATGCAGACGGTGAGTTTGAGATGCTTCTGAGGCTCACACTGGCTAAAATGAGTTCTACACAAATCAGAGTTGAGTTAGGTAAGACTACACAATACAGTGTATCATAGCAGTTGTAATCACAGCAAATTTAGAGCCCCATCTTGGCCATCTCTTACATTATGTGGAATGCCCTCATCCTACCAAGGTCACAGTTTCAATCCCCAGTTGGACTAGATGATCTCTTGATCCATTCCAGCTTTATTTCTCCATGATAATTTGACTTTAGAGGAACTCACTGAATACCTTGGCATGTGAGAGTCTTCATAAGATTTCAATAAATCCAGGCAGGCAGTTATTTCATAAATACATTTCATAAAACATTTTGTTTTGTGCTAATTTACTTAGAGAAAGCATTCACCTATCATTAAGTGTGGAAGTTTGTACTTTAAAACAGGGCTGTCCAGCTAGCAGCCCACAGGCCACATGTGGCCCACAAACAGATAGCATATGACCCACCAGCAACTGCCTTTCTCACTCCATTGATGATAATGGAAATCCTAATACATAGTTCGTATTAGAAAAGGCATCCTTCTTACCATCTGAAGTTTCTGACAATTGGTAGCTTAATGTGATAGAATTTTAAATAAGTATTGTGTTTCTTTTCACTTGTCATAACAGCTTTAATGTTTTATTTGTCCTTTCTTTTACAGGAAGAAGGGATAGTGAAAGAAATAGACATCAGTCATCATGTAAAGGAAGGTTTTGAAAAAGCGGATCCTTCACAGTTTGAGTTGCTGAAAGTATTGGGACAAGGTTCTTATGGAAAGGTAAGTGTACTGTATGTTGTCATTTGAAACGGGAAAAGATAGTTAACCAAATTAGTCTAAAGGTAGGCAGAAGGCAGTGCAGGGTGGCCACCTTACAGACCACTCAAGCATTGGCAAAATATATCATCATGGCCCTAACTCTGATTTGAACTGCACTAGTGCCATCCAATTGAAAGGAATTAAGTTGCAAAGACAGAAGAACAGAGTGAACCCTTTCCTTTTAAAAAACACTCTTTGCTTTTTCCTGAAATCCATAAATGAGATGAGTTGGGGAATATGGACCTGAGCCTGGTCATACACTCAACATGAGTGTTGGGGCTGATCCAGAGGAGATGCAGTAGCACGGTCCCAACCCCTTTCAGACCATGCTATGGGAGCTACAGCCAGGGACTTAAAGTTCCAAAGCACATAAGAATCCTTCCCCTCTTAGCAACCCCTCCCTACCCCAACATACTTAGTGATACCTGCTCTTCCCTCCCATTCCTTCTCTCCCCATTTGCCACTGATATGGGGGTGTGGGTAACCTCCAGACTCCTGACCTGCTCTAGGTGGGCTATGCCAAGAGCCTGAGACCAGCAGCAATAGCAGGTAGTGGGGGGCAGATTCCACTCCTTGCCCTGTCGCCCTGGGTGTTCCCTGCCAGCCTGAAAGCAGGCATAGGGAAGGAGAAACTGTATCCTGCCGCCACTGTCCCCGGTCAAGCCAGGCTTCCCATGCAACTGCTAGTCTGTCCACTAGCCCCACCCCACTCTCCAAGCTCCTGTGATCTCTCAGGATGGAAGGAGTGGGGTAAGGCAGGGGAGTGAGTTCAGTCTGGGGTTTCCCCAGCCATAGTCACTCCCCTCCCTTACCCCCGCTCCCAACTTGAAGATAGTGCCAGGAGCAGAACCGGGCTGCTTCAGCCCAGCCCTGATCCCAGCACACACTAACAGAAGTTAATGAAGGTACTCCACTTTGGAGTGCCTTCATCTGAACCCTCATGCAGTGAGGTTTCATATTGTCATGTGATCAGGGATTTTTAAAGCATTCTGCAGCCATGCACTTCTATCAGTACATGGCTGTAAAGCACTTTCAGTAGCTGATCATGCGACAAACTGTCATGTCTGTTAGTGCTCAGAGTGACACTGGGCAAATTGCTTTCCTTCCATTTGTTATGATTTCCCCATATCTAAACTCAGGTTACAATTTACAGTGTCACCTGGGATGAAAAGCACGATATCACTAAAGACTGTTAACTAACTAATTAATACACCTAAGATGCTTTTTAATTAGTACTTCCCTCTTTAATATCCATCAGAGCCATGTTTGTGCATACACTTTGACTTCTGTATGGATGCCATGCATACATGATATAAACAAAATACAAAGAGTAAGCTTTCACCTAAATTATTTTCTTTGATACTTTAACCACAAGATGATTTTTCTTTGCTAACCAGGTAGCATTAAATGGGGACATGAGGTAAGGGGAAAAAGGAAGAGAAATTCAAAGCTTTATGTGAAGTGAAGTTCTCTGGGTAAACCAACCAGATTTCTGCCGTCTAACTGAATGAGATTTCCAAACTTATGTAGGTGTGACCATCAACTGTTGGCTTGTGTGTCTTATTTACACCACATGCAGAAATCCTAGTTACTTTAAATTTCTTATTTTTGCTGGTTTGATTCTAAAAATATTTCCAAGGTTTAAATGCTGGCTTGGTCTTCCTTACCCAGAAAGTGACCCCTCTCCTCCTCCCTGAAATCTGTTAGGTCATACAACAGAGTTAATACAGTGGTGAACCAGGTTCTACAATTTTATTCCTGAAAGAAACTACATCCCAAAATATTTCATAAACGTTCCAAACTGATAGCTACCATTGTGGCTGCTACATCTGCCCTGGAATTAGGGGAATTTGGAAACCTTATCATTCACCTCCAGACTTTTGACCCAGAAGACCTCTGAGTTTTCTATTGTGATTACTTGCACTAAAGAAACACGAAGAAACCAGCAGCCCAGATTAGTATTGGCTGCAGCTGCATGATGTAGGGGTTTTTTTTAAAGTGATTTTTGCTTTCTTTCAAGATCAGCAGTTAGAACTGCCAGTTCTCATTTCCTTTGTTCCTAATGAACTGATCTTTTCTTCCATTTGTAATTCCTAGGAAAGTGAGTGTAAGCTTCTCATATATGTCAAAATATCTGAGAAGCAGCTCACATGCCATCTTAGAAAAAAACTGTTGTGTTTTTATTAATAATTGTGTTAGTAGACTGTTTGTGTGTTAGCATTTCATAGATAATATACGTAGTGTCTGCCATTGCTAATGTGCTTTCCCCCATTGATGTATTTACCCAAAGAAAATCTAGTTTCTGGACACAGGGTTCATTCTGTCCAGTTTTCCATCAGGAGGGTGGTAAAGCACTGGAACAAGTTACCCAGAGTAGCTCTGGAATCTCCATCCTTGGAAGCTTTTAAGGGACGTGTGGACAAAACCTTGGCTGGGATGATTTAGTTGGGGATGATCCTGCCTTGAGCAGGGGGTTGGACTAAATGACCTCCTGAGGTTCCTTCCAACCCCAATTTTCTATGGTTCTATAAATATCTGTTTAACTTCATAGGCCAGTAGTCTCCAGGCTGTCAAGCCATTACCCTTCATGACTATTCCCTGTAGTCCAACTCTCCTCTTAATAGATACAAGTGCTTACTCTGAAGTCAGTGTGAGTATTCAGCACTTCTGAGAATTAGGCCATTTTTTTCAATATCTAACTTTACCTACGTTGCTTCACCTGAAGGAATTTCCACAAGTCCTTCTGCACTTGACTGTGCCTTTTAAGAATAGTAAGAAGACAACATAATTTTGCAACACAATACATTTTCATTTGTTCTCTTTCCC